TGATATGTCACAAACCAAACCAAACCTGACTCCTCAATTTGTGGTCAAGGTACAGTGTAACCCGTATATAAGAGAGTTGTCAGGATCGGAGAAGAAGTCTCTTATATCCGGGTTTGGTCTATTTTGTTTAGGTAAGTATGGGAACACTTTGGGACCAGAGAAAATCTCTCTTATATCCGGGTCAGACTGTACTTCTATACATTTATATTCCAGAGAATGTAAAAAAAAAATGAAAAAGTTCTGCCCGTGTTGCTAATCAGTATTTCATTGATTGACTGATTTGATTCGTTTTTTACGGCTTATCAACCCATTGCAGGTTATTTAAAACCAGATACAATTTTTAGATTGTTAGAATTATTTTACGGGGAAAATGATTTTGTGATAGAGAGTTCAGGAGATCTTAGAGTAGGGGAAAGTTTATAAATTCTCATTAATATAGGTAAAGAGGTTATAGAAGGGGAAATCTAGAAATTAGAATTAGTTATACATTCGACATTTGAAGAGTTAGAGGGGAGTGAATATTAGGGACATTTGAATTTGTTTTTATGTCGACATTTTAATATTAATTCATATCCATACATATATACAGCAACCTCATAGATTCTAATTGCCATATCCATTATTTTTATTACTGCTCAGTCCGAGAAAAGCTGTCCATAAAGTGACGGTGGGGTAAAAATATATATGAAGCCACTATACCTATCATGACGCCCAGTCCGATAAGACTATACGAGGCATATCCATCACAGCCAAAGGAACACAAAATGGCGACAGCTTTTGATAAAAACCAGTACATAAATTTGTAGGTGGGGCCTAGTTAGGAATACCTTGATGTCGTTTAGCCCCCATCAGACGATTTCTGATTGATGTTGCTGCTAATTGCCTCTAATTACCAAGAAGTCTTGGCTGCTTCATTGTTTTAAAAAACGAATAGACTATTTTGGCGGTACCGACGAAATAGACAAACATGATTTAAGCTTATTCCACCGGTGTCGGTAAAATAGACCCCAGGCTATTTTGCCGTTAAATATTTTTATTATTATGAAGGCATGTAATGTTGAAAATAACTCAGATTTAACACGGATGTAGCTGAGGCGTGTCATCGCCTCGGTGAAGAATCGGAAGAAACTTTTTGGTCATCCAGTATCGAACAAGTGAATTTGTCAATACGGGAGTAACATAGAAACTAACATCTTTTAAAAAAAATATGTGCCTGAACAGGAGTATAATATACATTTTTTAGCTTCTATCTTAAAAAGCTGAAAAAATATCCCAAAATAACCCAAAATTCTAAATTCAGTCTATAAATATTTTTCTACTATGATGTCTAATTATAATGTCCTCCCTGTTGATTATATTAATGGGTGAGTTATGGAAGAATTTCGTATTCACCCAATTTGCATTTTTAAAATAATATTACGTGTATTATTATATACATGATATAAAAACACCGTATTCCACAGACGTAACGTAATAACTAAACTGAAAAAAAAAAACGATGAAAAACATGAGAGAGAGTTCTATGTCCTTAAATAGAACACACACGTATATATATATATATATATATATATATATATAATATATATATATATATATAGCTTATAAGCCACCCTATTAGAATATTCAAAGAGTAGTAAAAAAGACAAATTGTTTTACTGGTGAATAAGATCTCTTTATTCATGGGCGATAAAAGTTCTTTCTGAGGAAAAGCTACAATTCTTTACAATTACCATTTTATTAAAACAAACCTCTTAGCAGAGACAAATTTAAACAAAATGTAAAAAAAAATAACGTAGAGAAGACATATTCTGACTCTATCTATATGTCTTCTCTACTGCTTAAATCAGAAATTTTCATATTTGTCGACATGGAAAACAAAAACTTACATATAGATAGTCAGAATATGTCTTCTCTACTGGTTAAATCAGAGAAATTTTCATATATATATATATATATATATATATATATATATATATAATCCCACGCAGAAAAACTATAATTTTTATGCAACAACAAGCAGTGTGAAAAGAGAGCCTAAACAGTCTTATGTATAATAATTCTCGGCAATTCTTCTGTGTTTCTAAAGAATCCATATTCAGGATTCCAGGGTGGGACGGATTTATCTGCTATGTCCCTAGCGATGACATATCCCACAAACAGAAACTGAATTTTTCACTTTTCTGAAATGTGAACCGGAGATAATTTTTATACTTAGTGAAGATATATTTCCATATGAAAACAGTGCCATCGACTGCTAGAGGAGGCTGATTTATCCTCAGCCCGAGAAACCTAGACTAAAAAAAACAAACAACTGCTCGTTTTCACTCCTGGAAGCTGACTGACCATTTTCGTTACACTATGAAATGACATCACTAATCGCCTGTCACATGACCCACGTGACTTATTTCGATTAAAGGGATATAATGGCCTTTTGGTATTCCTGTTTTTTTTTTTTTGTTTTTTTTTTTGTTTCTGTTTGTTTTTTTGTTCACCCTGGTGTTTATATAATCGTTTTTCTTTTTAACATGGAAATATTTCAAAAGACTGGGTATCGCAGGGATCTATTGTATAGCTTCATTGAAAAGGCACTGATAGTTTGCCGTAATAAATCTGGCCACAATTCCGACCAAATAAATGCTTTGTCAGGTTAGACGTGACACAAATTCACTAAAAAGAAAATACATTGAAATTGCACTGATCTCACCTTTTTCTACGGTTAACCTCAGAGCGGATCCTTTCACAATTTCACCAATTATCGCAAAAGCAACTTTTTTTCTCTTTCTTTTTTTCTCTTTCTTTTTTACTTTTTTCTCTTTCTTTTTTTCTCTTTCTTTTTTTTTCTCTTTCTTTTTTTTTCTCTTTTTTTTTTTTTTTTTTTTTTTTTTTTCTTTTTTTTTCTTTTTTTTTTTCTTTTTTTTTTTTTCTCTTTTTCTTTTTTTTTTTCTTTTTCTCTTTTTTTTTTTTTCTTTTTTTTTTTTTCTTTTTTTCTTTTCTTTTTTTTTTTTTTTTCTCTTTTTTTTTTCTTTTCTTTTTTTTTTCTTTTTTTTCTCTTTCTTTTTTTTCTCTTTTTTTTTTTTTTTTTTTTCTTTCTTTTTTTTTCTATTCTTTTTTTTCTTTTTTTTTTTTTTCTCTTTTTTTTTTCTTTCTTTTTTTTTTTCTTTTTTTCTTTTTTTTTTTCTTTTCTTTTTTTCTCTTTCTTTTTTTTTTCTTTTTTTTTTTTTTTTTTTTCTTTTTTTCTTTTCTTTTTTTTTTCTTTCTTTTTTTTTTTTCTTTTTTTTTTTTTTCTTTTTTTTCTTCTTTTTTTTTTCTTTTTTTTTTTTTTTCTTTTTTTTTTTCTTTTTTTTTTTTTTTTTTTTTTTTTTTTTTTTTTTTTTTTTTCTTTTTTTTTTTCTCTTTCTTTTTTTTTTCTCTTATAGCGTTTTATGTATTGGCAAGAAGTAACGGTTGTCCTAAATAAAAGAAGTAGAATCAGAATAATATTAGTTTAGTTTAAGATTAATTTATATATTATGCAATTAAAATATCTATATTAAATAAAAGGTATAGAACTTAACTGCTCTCTTTATTTTAAACAGATTTTTGTCGTCATGTATGTTGACCTGGGAAAGAAGTATTTCTTTTAGAAAAGGAGATATTTGAAAAAAATCCGTGGCGTAGATTTATATTTATATAGGAACATTCTCAAAAGTTAATTTCACTTTTAATACGTGTGGTATCTTTAGGTCAATGTTGTACTTTAACTTATTTGTTCTTCATAGTATCCTTTTTGTGTTCATAGATACCATCTTTTAAATTTCTACAAGTTTTCCCCCATATATATATATATATATATATATATATATATATATATATATATATATATTTCATTCAAGCATGCTTCATTGAATAATATAGACATATTAGGTCTATTTATTTTTATAATAATCCTTCTAGTTCTCTAATCAGTTTCTTTATGTTGAGATGAAATCCATCAAAGAAGACGTCGTATATTTTTCCTATTGAAGTGCTTTCGATTTCCTTCGACGTCGAATTACAAAGACAAGCTTACTGCAAGCGTGATCGTTGTTATGTTTTTTTTTGTTTTTTTTTTAAAAAAAAAACAAAAAAAAAACGCGTTATAATTATTTTTAACTTTAAAATTTATCCGTTGTATCTATGGGGTTTTTTTTGCAAAGGTTCTAATATAAGAGCTGGTCGAAAATTGGTAGCATGCAAAATGTCAATAAATGTTTATTATAGGCACTTCAACACGTTGCTACTACACTCGTAAAAAATTTTGTTGAATGTTAGTTGCTTGCTTGCTTTGGATATAGTGGACCTCGAGAATTTGAAGTGTTTGTTTATTATTTTCGTGGTGTAGTATATTGGTACTGTATATATATATATATATATATATATATATATATATATATATATATATATATAATATATATATATAATGATAGCGAGAAAGTGTATAATGATTGTTATTTAAGTTTTCAATCTAATTCCTGTAAGTCTTTGTTACCTCGAATGAAAATACATTTGGGTAAAACTAACATTTTTCTTGAGGTTTTACATAGAAAATCTGTCAGTAGTGTAAAGTTTTGACAATTCTTTTTCTCCCGAAACGATGTGAGATCACAGAGTTTAAAAGTGTTTGGTCTTTGCAAGTGAACAATGAAACCTGTTTCGTGACTTGTTGCTGTGTCTATAAGGTTCCATTTTAATCATGAAGAAAAAAAAAGCGTGGCAACAAAAACAACACTGACAGCAAATTTCTTTGCTATTTTTGCTTGGCTTACACGATTGTTTTCTTTCGTTTCTTTTATTTCAGCAATTGTTTTTAATTACGCAATTTACTCTCTTCTCATCATTTTGGTCTTTTTTTTTTTATTTCCATTGGTCTTTTCCTTGTATTTTTCTTTCTCTTTATTTTTTATTCTACTTTTATTTTACATATATCCTTCTTCTTCTTCTTCTTCTTCACACTCCTACAGCCTTCTTCTTCTTCTCATAAGTCTACCTCACTCTTTGTCTTCTCCTTTCTCCACTCTTTCTTCCTTTCTCCACTCTTTCCTCCCTTCTTCTTCTTCTTCTTTCCTCCCTTCTTCTTCTTCTTCTTCTTTCCTCCCTTCTTCTTCTTCTTCTTCTTCTTTCCTCCCTTCTTCTTCTTCTTCTTTCCTCCCTTCTTCTTCTTTCCTCCCTTCTTCTTCTTTCCTCCCTTCTTCTTCTTTCCTCCCTTCTTCTTCTTTCCTCCCTTCTTCTTCTTCTTTACACTTTTTTCATCACTTTGTCTTTTTTTTGAAGCTTTTTCTTGGCCGTCGTCTTCCTCCTTGCTCTCTCTCTCTCTCTCTCTCTTTCGTCCGCCTCCTTCTTCCTCGCTCTCTCTCTCTCTCTCTCTCTCTCGTCGGCCGCCTTCTTCCTCTTTTTCTCCTTCTTCCTCTTTTTCTCCTCCTTCATTACTGTAAACACAAGATTTCTTGCATATTTTCTCATTAGGCAAATCATCAATTCTACAAATAATCTTTTATCTCTCATCTTTTACTTTTTCTTCTCCTCTTGATGTTTCAACTTCCCAGTGATACTTGGAACTCCTTTCTTCATCTTTGCTGTCTTTCTCAAAGATGGTGTGTTCATAAAGAGGTAATCATGTGAAGCGAACTAATACTCCTTAACTCTTTAGTATCTTTTAATGTCACTGATAAATCAACACCGTCGATGGGGACTGCATTTCATTTCTCTTTATTTATTTTTTCTCAAAACTTAGGAACTGAACTGATGTAAAGTGTTTCAAATGGCACCATTTTTTCTTTCTTTTAAAACCTACAAGAAAGATAGGATATACGTCATTGGTCAGATTATAACAATTTTGTCTGCTACTAACTTTCATGATACATAAAGCCCACTTTGTTCACTAAATATAATATGTCATAAATTCACAATCCACAAAAAGAAACTCCATTTGAATTGGGCCGAAATAGGGGAAATGGATGAAGTTTCAATTCCAAAATCTTTAATGTGCTGTATCCAGGAGATCATGACTCTCCACAACTTCCTATCCATTTTAACTCTAAGCCATGTCTGTTTCCTTATTATACCTCCCAGTTCTTGTTTGGTAGGTTACTTGATGTTTCCCTCTTGCCTTTTCTATGTCCTATGAGTGTCCAATTTTCCAAGCCCTCTTTCCTCATATGTCTCAGAAATGTCCACCGCCTCTTTTTTAATTCCAAGTTCAAAAGTCCTTTTTGGTACCATTTTCTACAAAACTTCCTAATTGCTCTCGTCTTCCATCTATGGTATTATGAGGAAAAAGTTCAACATTCAATGCCATATAGAAGAATTGATATTACATAACAGTTCAGCACTCTTGTCATTGATTGTAACTCATTTTTTCTTTTACTTAATATTTTGTTTAGCCTTTTCGAAGACATCTTTTGCTATTCCAATGGACTTTTTGGATGGCCGTGTCACATTTTCCATTATTTGTTCAGACCTTTCCCAGAATATTTTTTCTCATTATTTTCCTTCTACTCTTTTCTTTTCCTCCTTTTTTGTTTTCAGTTTTTTCTTCCTTTCTTGTTTTTTCTTTTGATTTTTTTTTTATTTTATCTTGATCTTTTTCCTTCTTTCTTCTCTTCTTGCTTTTTTTTCTTTTCATGTTTTCCTCTTGTTTTTCTTTTCTTTTCTTCGTTTTTCTTTTCTTCGTTTTTTTCTTCGTTTTTCTTTTCTTCGTTTTTTTCTTCGTTTTTCTTTTCTTCGTTTTTTTCTTCGTTTTTCTTTTCTTCGTTTTTTTCTTCGTTTTTCTTTTCTTCGTTTTTTTCTTCGTTTTTCTTTTCGTTTCTTGTTTCTTCATCGTTTTTCGTTTCTTCATCGTTTTTCGTTTCCTTGTTTTTTCGTTTCCTCTTGTTTTTTAAATCACATCTTGGGATATCTCTTTTGATTGCAATCCTCATTAGGGGACAAAACCCTGGTGTGTTAAAGCAGTATTTCAAGATTTTGGTGATATATTACTCAACCAATTGATTGAAATTAATAAGTTTAAAACCACAGGAAACAAGGCGAGTAATAACTGAACAAACTGAGAATAACCTAATACTGTAAAATAAATAGAGGGTTTTCCCTGCAGGTTACTCGGATCAATACCCTTGAAGAAGTTAGAGGGCACGAGTGATTGAAAAGTTATACACCTAAGATGAGGGATATTCGTACAATTGTAAATAATGCATAAATGATGTTTATAGAAAAATAAATTGAAGATGTAATTTTCTTTGTTTATTACTGCAAACAATTCCTCCAGTTAGATATTTAGAAAGACCCGTGAAAATTTCATGTTTTTCTTATTTAAATTTTCTGTTGAATTTTCATTCTTGACTCTTAATTAATGATTGAATAAATTCATGGTAAGTTCTACGACAATAAAATATCCCCGTCCTGGGTATGACCGTAAACGGCGTCCTGGGTAACTATAACAAGTCCTCTGATCTGAAGGATTTGAGGAACGTGGAACCGCCTCTTAATTACTGGTGTTCCCATGTCCACCCTGACACGGGGTGGTAGCACCTGTTAGGGTCCCAGCTATGGGCAAATATTTAACTGGGGTCAAAACACTATGAAAGTGTAAAAATAGGTTTTAATACTAGCAATGAATTTTTGAAGAAATTATTACCAGCAATACATTTTTGGAAAAAATATATTACCAAGCAATAAATTTTTGAAAAATTATTACCAGCAATACATTTTTGGAAAAGATATTACCAGCAATAAAAATCTTGTCGGCATTAGGTATTTACTGTTTCCCCACTAACACGAGTTGTAACACAAGGTCTTTTTTTTTTTTTTTTGAGGTGGGGACCCAAGCGCGTACACCCGGGCCAGGAACAAAAATTTCCCGCAGCCCACGCAACCGGCGAGGGCGCGACATCGGGCAACTGTTTCCCAGGGCTGGGCACCTCTCAGTATAATTTTTCCCATAGAGGTTTTGATATGCCGCTATGCAAAATCAACCAATAAATGAACTTAAAAGGTTGATAAGCCGTAAAAAAACAAATTAAAGAAAAGAAAACTAGCTGTCCCAAACTAACGTTCTATTGTCGTTGAAACAGCATTAATCTTGAGATCTGATCTGTGATAATGCTTGAATGTTGTTGTTGATGATAACGATGATTATTATAAGGATAATTTTTTCATCTAAATTTCAGACAATTTTTAAGATTACTCGGACTTCCATTCTTATTTGATGATTATTTTTGCTTCATCTTAATTTCATTTGCTTTTTATTACATCACCTAATTGCAATATATAATTACACTAGCTTTTTCGTATTCAACATGTATATATTGCTGTATATTGTGGGTTATCCTACTTGGTTTTGTCAAAACGACTGCTAGGTGGCAGTCTTAAAGCCAGTAAATAGGCGTGTGATATTCTCACCTTTTTCTGGCTTTCAGAAATAGTCGTGCGGAGATAGGAACACTGCCTCTGAGGTGCGTCTGCCTCTTTGGTCCTTCTTTGCCTTTTGAACTCTGTCACACACTCATGTACACGCAACTTGCCCTCTCAGTCCGTCGTGTAGACGCAACTATTTTTCTCAGTCCGTCGTGTATTTTACGCAATTTCTCAATCCGTCGTGCATTTTCAATTTTGAAACTCAGTCCGTCGTGTAGACGCAACTTGCCCTCTCAGTCCGTCGTAGACGCAACTTGCCCTCTCAGTCCGTCGTTTACGCAACTTGCCCTCTCAGTCCGTCGTTTTGGACGCAAATTCTCAGTCCGTCGTAGACGAAGGCCCTCTCAAATATGCGCAAATCCCTCAGTCCGTCGTTTTGACGCAACTTGCCCTCTCAGTCCGTCGTGTAGACGCAACTTGCCCTCTCAGTCCGTCGTGTAGACGCAACTTGCCCTCTCAGTCCGTCGTGTAGACGCAACTTGCCCTCTCAGTCCGTCGTGTAGACGCAACTTGCCCTCTCAGTCCGTCGTGTAGACGCAACTTGTCCTCTCAGTCCGTCGTAGACGCAACCAAAAAAAGAGTCCGTCGTTTTGTAGACGCAACTTGCCCTCTCAGTCCGTCGTGTAGACGCAACTTGCCCTCTCAGTCCGTCGTGTAGACGCAACTTGCCCTCTCAGTCCGTCGTGTAGACGCAACTTGCCCTCTCAGTCACGTCCTGGGTATGACGTTAAAGTACATCCAACAGCAAGGCCTCTGATCAGGAGGCTTTGAGGAGCATGGAACCACCTTTTAATTGCTGCTGTTCCCAGGTCCACCCTGACCCGGGGTGGTAGCACCTGTTAGGGTCTCAGCTATGGTCAAATAGTGAACTCCCAGTTTTTCCAGACCTTTCCCGCGTCCTGAGTATAATGACTCAGATAATGTTTTCTGGAAAATAATGTTGCCAGCTATATGTTTAATAGTACTATTATATATATATATATATATATATATATATATATATATATATATATATATATATATATATATATATAGATTAATTTGGCATTAAATGACCTACAGTGGTTGATATGCCATAAAACCCAACCAACCCTCTTGGTCAGTCGTATGAACACGCAGGTTCCCCTCTCAGTCACTCACGCAAACGCAGGTCCCTCTCGCTCACACACACACACGCACGCACGCACGCACACGTGCCCCTCTCTCTCTCTCTCTCTCTCACCCCACACACACGTGCCCCTCTCTCTCTCTCTCTCACCCCACACACAAACTCATTCTTCTTATAACTTGTTTTAATGCATTTTCCTCCCAATTAAAATTGTCTACATAAGTAATTCTTTTTATTTATAACATGCATTGTCCTTTGTTTCATATTATTATTATAATTTTTTTTTTTTTTTTTTTTTTTACATACTATTTTTACCTTGACTCACATCGTGTACGACAATATTGATTGCAGGATAAATTTTCCAGGGGCCCGTAAATATTTACAATGCAAAGTGTTCATTCCCGACATATAATGGTGTCTAATATTTACCCAAACATACTAGCATCCCGCAAAAATATAAAAGCAATTTATGTTTGCCATGAATCCTCTTGATAGTAAATGATTATTCGTCCTTGACCATTCCTGATTTCGGGCTGAACGTGGCCGAATCCAAGAAATAACAGTAATTGCTGCAAGTACTTATTAAATTGGTTTATGTTTAATTTCCGACTTCAACCAATAATGGCGTCGGTTATAAAACTGAAAATGTTTATGTCTTCCTGATGGAAAAACCCAGATCTGACAGGTCTTAATTCATTTCATGTTAGTGATTTAATTGTTTGATAGCAAAATTTACTATTTATTAATTTTATTTACATTTGTCGACTGCTAGTACTATTTCTTTTCTTCCAATGACTTTTTTTAATTACTTAATCGAGAATAGCTGACATATTCTTCATTTCCTGACCATTGACAATACCTTCATGTTGATTTTTCTTTATTTATGCAATTCTGCAATAGATTAATTGCGTATTTATGATTTGGTTTGTTTTGCTTTACAGCTTATCAACCTCAATGGGTTATTTAATGCCGACAAGAATTTTATTGCTGGTAATTTTTTTTATTATTTCCAAAATGTATTGCTGCTAATATTTTTTCAAAAATGTATTGCTCGTATTAAAACCTATTAATAGTCTATCTTCAAGGAACCAGTTTGTGGAATGGACATCCGAATTACTAACATGAGCATTGGGCCATGATTCATTGGAAAAATACGAAAAGTAAATAACGGAATTATTCGTTTTGATTCAATTAATTTGCACAAGGGTGTATCTCTCTCATACACCCACACATATACTCTCAACAGAGTTTGCGTCCTGGGTATGACGTTAAACTGCATCCAACAGCAAGGCCTCTGATTAGGAGGTTTTGAGAAACGTGGAACCACCTCAAATAATTGTTGGTGTTCCTGGGTCCAAAAATGACCTTTGGTAGCACCTGTTAGGGTCCCAGCTATGGGCAAATAGTGAACTCCTAGTTTTTCCAAGTCTTACACACGTCCTGGGTATGACAATAAACTATATCCGCGTCCTGGGTATGACGATAAACTGCGTCCAACAGCAAGGAAGGCCTCAGATGGTGTTTTCAGAAAAATAATGTTGCCAGCTATACGTTTAATTGTACTGTATATTTAATATATATATATATATATATATATATAAACTTAATTTGGCATTAAATCACCTACAGTGGTTGATATGCCATAAAACCCAATCAACAGAGTTTGGAATAGATTTCACTTAAAAAACATTGTGACATTGATAATGACAAAAATTTATCGGCAGTACTTCGTTTTATTTTTATATACACATAATACTATTCTTCATTCTACAAACGAGCATTATACAGGATGAAATGTTCATCCAGTTTGGGAAATCTCTTAAAATAGATTTAAACGGATGCTTATTAACTGAGGTCATTCGTCAGTATTGAAATAATTGAATTATTTTGATTTGGTTACTTCTTCCCAGGCAAATAATGAAAATACTCAGCAAGTTTGTTAATAATTAGCCATTCTCCACTAGAATTTTGTGGTAAGACTTTCTCATGGCTGGCCTTTTGCCAGGGGCGTAACCACAAAAGGAATTAAGATTCCCACCCTGAACCGTCAGGAAGAAACAGGGAATTAAAACAGTAATTGGTTGAATGAAGACAACATTAATTTAGCTAGCCTTCCCAGGTTAACCAATGTATCAGTCAAAAGCTTCATTGCACAGATGTGAATTTGAGGTGTCATAATAAAAAGCAAAACACTGGATTAGACTGAAAGATTTTGACAGACAAAACTCCCTTGAGTAAATCTTAAAAAAAAACGGCAGCTGTTTGGAATTCCGATACAAGTTATCGCGATTCTACCAATTGTATGGTAAGAAGGAAGTTCCATTTTGACAGTTTGTTCTCCAGAATAGTTACTTTGTAAAACAGACTCCCGAGTGGGTGGTTTCTCGGTTACTACAGTCTCATACTTTTCAGCTCTCTGGTCAACTCTTATATATCGTACATAATAGGTATATTTTCCTCTTTCCTTTACACTTTTACCCTCTTTGATACCTCTCGGCCTTGAGTGACTCTTGAGGCTTTTACTGGGTAAACAATAGTATAAAAATTCTGTTCAAGTCTAAGGTCAACCATAATCTCCCCTGCATATCCATAAATTGTGCCTTTTACTTTTTAAACCTCTACCTCGAGTGGCTCCCGTCCTGTGTATGACGATAAACTACGTCCAGCAGCAAGGCCTCTGATTTGGATGTTTTGAGGAGCGTTGAACTAGCTCTTAATTGCTGATGTTCCCAGGTCCACCGTGACCCGGGGTGGTAGCACCTGTTAGAGTCCCAGCTGTGGGCAAATAATTAACACTCAAACTTTTGTAAAAATAGGTTTTATTACCAGAAATACTTTGTAATAAAAAAATTATTACCAGCAATAATTTTTGAAGCAAAAATTATTATCAGCAATACTTTTAAAAAATACCAGCAATACAAGCAGCTATACATTCTTTGGGGAAAAAAAATATGACTAGCTATAGATTTCTTCAAGGAAAAATATTCCCAAAAATAGATTTGTGAAGAAAAAAATTACCAGCAATAAAAATTTTGTCGGCATTAAATAAACCATTGAGGTTGATATCCCGTAAAGCAAACCAAAACTCGAGTGGATCTTGTCTTGTACAGAATGAACGTCATTGTAAAATAAATGTTTCACTATATCCCCTTGTGGCAGACTGCATGAATTCCCATGACCTAATTCTATTTTAAAGAATCTTGTAACCCTCTATCTACCTTGAGTGGCTTTTGGGCCTTGTTCATAATTGTTAAAAAAATAATTCATATTTGTTATCTGTAATTGCACAGTTTGGATTAACTTTAATTTTGCCTAAAACTGAGAAGTGTGCGACCTTTTGTACTGTGTATCTGCTTCAAAATGAAATTTAATTTTTCACATTTTCTGTCCACCCAATTATAAATTGTTTTGAAAGTGGAAATTGCAATATGATTATCCTAAGTTCTATCAGTTCTTACCCTCCTAGTTGAGACCCCCCCATATCATGCCCATCACAGTGAACCACCCTCATTCCTTTTATATGCTATTAGTGAGATATAAATTTCGTTCAAGCAGCTTCCTCCCATAAATTGCTGCCCTGTGGAAACAACTCCTAAGATGATGCTTTCTCTGATGACTACAATCTTAACCTGCTCACGTAGAGGAGTTAACCTTTATCTTCCCCACATATCCACATAAACTATGCCTTCTGTAAATTTCTATTCGGATCTGTCCTTTGGACGATAAACATCGGCGTCCTGGTACGACGATAAGCTACATCGGCGTCCTGGGTACGACGATAAGCTACATCGGCGTCCTGGGTACGACGATAAGCTACATCGGCGTCCTGGGTACGACGATAAGCTACATCGGCGTCCTGGGTATGACGATAAGCTACGTCCAACAAGGCTTCAGATAATATTTTTGAAACAATAGTGTTGCCAGCTATACGTTTTTTGGAAAGAACAATGTTGCCAGCTATGTGTTTAATAGTACTGTATATTTAATATATATATATATATATATATATATATATATATATATATATTAAATTTCAAATTAAAATTATAATGTTTTATTTTATGAAAGTATTTATATATATATATATATATATATATGATATTTCAAATTGTCCTCAATTTTTCATCAGAAATAACATATATATATATATATATATATATATATATATATATATACCTTAATTTGGAATTAAATGACCCACAGTGGTTGATATGCCATAAAACCCAACCAACCTCTATCTCGATTGGCTCTTGGTCCTTGTACAGAGCGGGGGAACGTCATTGTAAAATAAATCATATTTCACTATATCCACTAGCGGCAGATTGTATGAATTTAAATGACTTAATTCTATTTTTTTAAGAATCCTCTAACCTTCTACTTCTAGATAATAAATTAAAAAGAATATATACATAATACTCAATGCCAGCATGTGTGTGAAATTACTCTTTTTGAGTAATTTCACGTCTACTTATCATTTCTATCATCTATAGTTTAATAGACAGTTGCTGAATCCCATTTTATTTTCATTTTATTTTCATTTTTTGGCGGTA